AATTTTAAAATTCGTTAGTCTGAAATTTATTTCATAAACGTTCAAATAAATTTTTATACCTGCAATTTTTACGGATTTTACTGTTTTTACATCAATTTTCAATATTAATTGTTTATTATGTTTTATTGTGTTTTATTTTGAAAATTAAATTTTTAAATTAAGTTTTTACATCAATTTTCAATATTAATTGTTTATTATGTTTTATTGTGTTTTATTTTGAAAATTAAAGGACAGTTATTAAATGTTGAGAAGTTCATAACTTATCGAGTTCCACCTAATCAAACATTGTAACAACGTAAGCTAAATTATTTTGTTACCTCTGAACTGAAATTATAGAAAGAAGTTGGAAAAACATACCTACTTATTAAATTTATTAATAACTAACACTACAAACGTTGTTTTGTCATATAAATTATTTCTAAAGAATATTTTGCTGGAAAAAAATAACTAATTTAATGTAAGTGTGTAAGGATGTGGTATATTAGTGGAAGAGGTATGGATGGCTGTGAACGGTGACGGTATATAAAAATGAAAAACATCAAACATTAATTTTTTTAATAATTTATTAAAATTGATCCTTTAAAATTATATTTATGTATCGCTAATTATGACAATATTAGTAAAAAACAATATCAATTCCTTAATGCAACAGAGTGTACAATATTTTTTGTTATCCCATCTTCCACCAACACAAACAAATTGGATGGTTGGAGAACACGCCACGTATAGTATCCGTGTGAAAAACATGATATGCTCAAATCTGAGCCACAGAGTCTAGGACATTTCGCCGCAACCGTTTCGCCGCGACCGCTCCACCGCCGGACTACTCACTGTCGACAGTGCCGCGAAAACCGGGTGTGCAGATTGTGCGCGCACACGGGCCCCAAGGCTTACATACATTTGAGGGACCCTCTAGTCCCAGCCTGAAATAAACTACACTTTATAAATACACAATTATTTAATAATAAAAAGAAAATTTTTTAAAATTCAGGTAGGGTTGTTATAACATTTTAGAATAATATAATATTTATTTAACAATGAGTCCATAATGTAATTGAATAGGCATACAACATACCTACCTAAACTACTTAAATCAATTTAGTACATAAATATGTAGTGAAGTATTATATACAACAGTTATAGGTATTTAGTTTGATATATATATATATATATACGTATATCATAGGCGTGCGCACGGGGTATGCAGGGTATGCCGCTGCATAGTCTGCGGCTTCATGCGAGGGGCCCATATTTATTATTAAGTTAAGAAACTTTAAATTTAATTACCGCCACAGGAAATTTAAATCAATTAAAGCTTGATAGTAATGATATTTCAATGTTGAAGGAAAAATTTAATTTGAATACTACATTTGAGTCTGAAATTAAGCTCATTACAAATATGTTTGATAGAACTTCTATTAGAGGGTCATCAACTAAAACAATTTTAGTATGGCTGAATTGGTTATCAGAAAACTGGCACTACTGTTATTTTTTTGACCAAACAATTATAATGTATTCGTAGTTAATTTTTCCCACTACTCAATATATAATTTACTATACAAACCTTTATTGTAATTATTTTGTATTGTCAATTATACTATGTTATATAATTATATTGGTTTATATTGGTTAATTTCAATAGTGTATTGGAGGGTATACGCCGTATACCCGGATCTCTATTTTTAGATTTATGCGTATACCTTTAAGAAAATTCGTCCATCACGAGCATACGCTAATTCCTACATAATGGGTAAACGCAATCTTTTAATTTTTCATCAGCATAAGGCATACATTATACAATAATAACAGTATAGAATTTATTATTATACGCTATAGCCATTATCCAAAAATGGCCTCATGCCCGCATAAACTTTTTGTGGACAACTTAATTCAACAGTTAAATAAACGATTTTTGAACCATAAAAATACAATATCTGACTTTTGTTTTCTAATTTCTTATGAAACTTATGATAACCAAGTAATCAAAGATTTAGTGAATGTTATTCAGATGATGTTGATCAAGAAGTTTTTGAAGTAAAATTAAAGCTTTGGCGTATACATTTTCAAAAATTAAGTGTACACGGTCTTGTAGAATCTAGATGTTCTTGATAAGTGCAATAAAGACTTCTTTCCAAATTTATTCAAATTGCTTCGTACTTTTGCAACACTTCATATTACATTGTGTGAACCAGAAAGAAGTTCTTCCACATTGAAAAGAATTATTACTAATCTTCGAAATTCTGTTGGCCATTTAAGGCTTAATGACTTTGTAGTACAGAATATTTATCGTGAAGTCGATGTTGAAATTGAACTTGAGGAGGTTATTAAAATATTAAAAAAACCAAACCGTCATATTGACTTTATTTTATAACTATACATACTATATTTATATTATTATTATATATATTTATATATATACCTTAGTTATTTTTCTTATTTCATATTTATTATATTATTATATTGTTATTGTATAACATAGTGGTAAGAGATCTTTCAGTGATGAGCAAAAAAAAAAAAAAAATGCATGTACTTATATTACAACGCCCCCTTTGAAATAATCATACGTACGCCACTGGTATATACCATGTACATAATTATTTATACGTGTATAAAAATATTTATAAATGATTTTTACGGATAATGTTTTATTATGCGTATTAATTTTAACACAAGTTACAGTGTATAACTGTTACTATTTGTATCCAGTCACCTGTATCTTTCTATGCAGAAGGATTGATTTTAATGTTTCAAGAAGTTAAAATGGAAATTATAAACGTTATTACCTAATCATTAAAGTAAGTACAGATTTTAATTTTATTATTTAATAAGGTTTTATAATGTATAGTAGATCATATTTATATTTTGTATTCAAAATTTAGATACTGACGATGCCAAAAACTCAAATAATATTAATAATTATTTGAACATTTTTTTGTATAATATATTATATAGAGATATATTTTATCATTATAAAAGTTAATTGATTGATTAACACAATTCACAAGCAGTAATCGAAGACAAACACTGGGTATCAAAAGAAATGCTTTATTTAGTAACCTGTATATTATCTTTATTTTGGCATAGATATATCATATATAAGTTTGTGTACTTGTTTAGTTATTTTTATTTTTGTAATTAATTAACAAAAAATAAAATAAAAATTTAAATATATAAATACTCAAGTCGCAATTGAATAGCGTTATACAGAAAGCAACCATCCCACTAATGTTCTATATGGATATAATTGATGTTTTAGAAAAACATCTTTTTTAAATTTGTTTACAGCTCATATGATTTAAAACCAAAATATCTTATTAATTGAATGTATTTATTATTTTAAAGACTTACTAATATATTCCTAATACAATCAATACTCACTATTATTTTAATATTTGTTGTTGGTTGTCTTGTGATAAATGTAAAAATGTGGTATGGTTGCTTTATGTCGGTTGGTTGTTTTATGATTAATGTAAAAATGTGGTATGGTTGGTTGTTTTCAATGCATGCTATAACATATTTTTTAATCTTTAATAAAATACACTTATGTGACTAACTTTGGTAGTTAACAATTTTATTCATCAAACATAATTTCTTAAACTTAAATAGTAACGTTTATCTCAGTCTTTGAGTTATTTCATTAAAAAACAATATGTGTAACAACAAAATTAATAAGAAGTCTTAAAACAAAAACAAATACAACAACCTTTTTTAGAATAATAATAATAATAATTATAAACTTAACAGCATTTAATTTATCTCAGTCTGAGTTATATCATTAAAAAACAATAGGTATGTGTAACAACAAAATTAAAAAAAAATCTATTAAAACAAAATCAAATAGGTACAACAACCTTTTTTAGTAACATAATAATAATTTTAAAATTAACAGCATTTAATATATCTCAGTCTTTGAGTTATAACAATTAAATAGTTAAACAGTGTAATTCAAAATTTTAAAAAAAGTGTATTATTAATCAATATTATTAGTTTCTATGTCAAAATCTAGATTCTCATTGAAACCATTAACATCTTCTACCAATGATACCATTTCCTGTAAAATGTGTATAAAATTCTTGAGCATCAGCAGGTATGAGATGCATTATTGACTTAATATCATCAAGCTTTGCTTGGTTGATCTCTTTCCCATTAGGCCATAGTTTAATTAGTAGGGTTTCAGATGGAAATAATATGTCATTTGATATTCTACCACGACCACGTTTTTCAATATTTATTTCTAAAAAGTTTTCATCCGATAAGGTTGTACTCATTAACAATGAAAATGGTTGATTATGGCATAATTTAATTCGTCTTGTTTGTAGCCAATTGATTTTGTCACCAGAGATAGATACCTTTCGATTGGTACACTTAAAATCTTACTTATAATTATTAAAATAACAAATAACGAATAAAATCGTCATAACAAAGAATAACATATTTAAATTTTAATATTTAAAACAATCCATTGATAATAAAATAATGATTAACATTTTTTACAGAAAACGACCAAGCCACTTGGATTGATATTATCTTATTATTATTATCAGTCATACCTCCATTACAAAACCATGTGTCATGGATGTATTATGCATTAATTTTTATCGATATAATCATTCAGTTAGTTTTTAAAACATTGATAGATAGCGATACACTTCAATGTTGGTTTGGTTGTATTTTGCAGAATACTTAAATTGAAATTCTCTATCTGGTTTTACTAAAACCTCGTTTTCATTAGATTGTGGGATGGTTGCTTTCTGCATAACGCTATACAATTTTATGACTTTGTATATAGTATGTAGCTGATGATGAATTTTTAATTCGAAACCGGTCGTACATTACAAATGTAATAATACTCCTTAGAACTGACAGATCCACGGCGGACCAGATATTCATAATTAGGTAACTGTATCAAAAATCTTGGGAGTTTGATAAAGAGATTCACACACTCTTCGTGGACTTTAAAAAAGCGTATGATAATATTCATAGAGAGTCTGTTGAATATTATGAAAGAATTTCATTTTCCACAAAAACTGGTCAATTTGGTATCTATCAGCGTTATGGAGATCTTGATAAGGGTTCAGATAGGAAATTTAGTAACTGATCCGACAACAGTGAACTTGAAGCTAAAACAAGGTGATTCGCTATCGCCGATTCTGTTCAACGTAGGTTTGGAAAAGGTCATTAGAGAAATGAAAATTAGTCCTAACGAGGGTATTAGACTACAAGACACGTCGATAGGCTTACTTGCTTATGCTGATGATATAGTATTGATGGAAGAGTCACAGGATAAATTGAAGTATTTATTCAGTAAACTGTATAAAGCAGCATCAAAAGTAGGACTATGTGTAAACGAAGGAAAAACGGAGTATATGTTTTTAAGTAGACGGAGAATACCTTTTTGTCAGTCCATTAAAATAGATCAATATGAATTTAAAAGAGTAGAACAATTCATATACCTAAGCTCTATTTTGTCTGAAAAAAATAATGTAGCAATCGAGGTAGCAGCAAGAATCCAAGCTGGGAATAAATGTTACTATGGACTGACTAAGGTACTATGCTCACGAGCAGTATCGCGAAGAATGAAAGAACAATTATATAAGTCCTTAATACGACCGGTTCTAGTGTATGGATCGGAAACATGGCCACTCAGAAAAATGGACGAGCATAGACTCATGGTCTTTGAAAGAAAAGTGTTGCGGAAAATATATGGCCCGGTCAAAGATGAAATAACTGGGGAATGGAGACGAAGAAAGAACTTAGAGCTGGAAACACTATTCAACACTTCAGATATATTGGAGGTCATCAGAAGCAGAAGACTACGGTGGGCTGGCCATGCTCGGAGGAGCCAAAATCCACTATTACATGCTATGATTGAACAAAACCCTGTTGGTAAAAGACCTCTGGGAAGACCAAGAATGCGATGGGAAGATAATATAAAGAAGGACGTTGAACATTTAGGAGGTGTTTCCAATTGGAGATATCTGGCATTGGATAGAGAAGGATGGAAGCTTGGTTGTGAGACGGGATGGTCTTAAAGGCCCAATAAACCCCAAAAAAAAAAAAATAAAAAAAATAATACTCCAGGCTAAAGCTCAAAGGCGGATTTTTGATTGAATTTGAGGAATGGCTTAAATTTTGCTATACATTATGAACCATGAGGTTTTTGTTCCCACACCCCCTCAGTTACAATAGTATATAGAAAACGCGCTAACTACTAAATTACTGACTACAAAACTAAATTTGTACTACTGCCTAGGAATGGACAAAATTGTTTGAACAACGATATACGATGTAACGATACATCGATTTTTAAAATATCGATGTGTTCGATGTATCAGTGAAAAACCATTGAAGTTTCAAAACATAGAAAAAAAATTTTTTTCCCCGATAGAGTTGCCATTTGTTGCACATCTTATGTACAACCGGTGTGCAGAATCCTATAGCATAGTAGTCGCATAGTTGTCACACTGATGGTTGAGAATAAGAGAGGGTTACTATACTAAGACTGAACTCATCGAGGTTTTCCAAACATTGCTCAAAATTATAAAGATCTTGTATGGTTGAGCGAAAGTTATAATGGCTGCAAAAAACGTTGATATCAAGGAAATTCATTTTCAGATTCAAAATAATTTTAAATAGTTTTACTTTTTTTTTCATTTGTTGATTAGACAGAATTCAGTACAAAAAATTATATAAAAATCTTCTACTAATGGTCAAAAATGAAGACAGTTATTTTCATTAAAATAAATCATAAATTAAGTTACAAAGGTAATACTTTTTATTTTCAGGAAAATGAAAATCAAAGGTATAGAATGTGCATTCAATTTATATACAAAAATTATTACAGATTAAAAATATAATAAAACCATAAAATTAATCTTCTTCCATTGCTTCACTTCCTTCTTTCAAATCATTCATTTTATTAGTTTCAGGCGCTGTCCTTAGGTTATCTACATCTATTTTTGGTAATTGTTCACTACGAGTTTCAACATTTTCTGGAGGTCCAATAATTTTCTCTTCAGCTTTTATTTCTATAGTTTTTTCATATTTTGCATTATTACTAACATCATCATCACTATCATTATTTTCAGAGTCCGATTCTGCTCCTGGATAATGATCAGACTTGGTAATTTTTTTTTCTACAAATGTTACAGCAGCTCCAGGTTTAATCCAGTCTTCTGTAGATTTTATTTCCTATATTACAAATAATAAATAAATATATACACATAGTTCAGATCAATCAAACAACAAAAACACACTTGATGTACTTGTTTTAGTTCCTGAACTCGTTGTAAATAATAATCAAATACATATTTTGCTATTTCAGGCATATCTTGCACTATAAAAACTTGACTTTGACGATCTATAGTACTATTGAGTAACCTATTTGTAGGGTAATAATCAGCTGGTAAAAGATGTAATTTTAGTGGCCGTTCTGTGAACTGAAAAATAATATTCCAGTTTTATAATTCATATAATCTATTTTAATAATTTAATGCCTTACAATTTTGAATGTTGGTGACAACTCAAAACAATTGTTAAAGAGTGATACATTAGCAAAAACATAGAGACCAAGTCTTGCTCTTGACATAGCAACAACTAAACGCCTAACATCTCTAAGATGACCAATAGTTTTTGTCCTCACTAATGACAATAATACATAATCATTTTGTTGACCTTGATACTTGTCTACAGTAGTCACCTAGAAATGTAATTACATTTTTTACTAATATATGTCATTAAAAAATTATATATTTTAGTTATTAATTATTACTTTGTAAGGCCATCCAATTAGTGGATTAGAACCACAGCGCATGTTTATTATTTCCCTGATCAAGTGTTTTTGTCCATTATATGTACTCAAAATAGTAATTTTATTAGCAGGGTAACCAATAAGTCGCATATACATGTAAACAGATACACAATATTCTGCTTCTGCAAGATTCTAAAATTCATACAAGGTTTAGTTAAATAAAATAAGATTATTTGTATATGTTACTATATTTTAATATTTATATGAATATTAATATTAATATTAATATGAATATTAATATTAGTCATAACTCATTGGTTTTTATTTTAAAGCAATTTAACCTGGATAAAATGAGGATTTGGTTCCGTTTCACCAACACCATTGAATAAGCCAACATCAATTAACTGATATTCATAAAAGAAACCTGCATTTGCTTTATGGTATTCTGTAGCAGTTAAAACATGTTCAAGATTTCCCAAGTTATTATAACGCCAGTTGTATAATTTACTCAAACTAAAATTAAATGTTATTAAATAATGAATAATTGTTTAAAAATATGTTTTAATATTTAAATGTAATTACCTGGGTCGTGAACGCCCTTGAGCATCTAAGTCAACAGTAGGAACCCCTAAATTGACCATGCGAGTAAATAAAGATTGTTCCATGTTGGAATACTTTTGGAAAGCCATATTTTTAATAACTGGAGGTAATTGATGATGGTCACCAATCATAATCCAACGTTTTAAACGGCTAAACCCATCATCAGAGTTTTGAAGTAATAATGGAATAAATGTTTCTATTTCAAGAATCTGAGCAGATTCTTCCATTAATATGTTGTCATACTTGAAACCTAGCTCAATAAGTTCCTTACGCTTCAATGCTGCATGAGTACAAGTCATGGCTATTATTTTTACTTCTTTTACCAATAAGTATCGAGAACGATCTAAACCGGTTCTAAGTAATTCAAAAGCTCGAAATTCATCTAATTGCTTGAATATTTTTTTGATATACCTATTTAAAAATAAATAATTTATAATTTTTGACTTTATTGTAACTACATTTTTTATTATTTTTATTTATAAAACTGAATGTGAATTAAGAATAACTTAATAATAATTTAATATAATGTATATGTACTAGTGATAGGGGATTCTTAGAAGTGAATCACACTTTTGAATTAATTTAAATCAGAATGAAAAAATCATGATTAGAATAAAAGATAGTGCCAGCATTGTGAAAAGATCAGAAATTGAATAAAATATTAATGATGAATCAATTTCCATGAAATATAATATCAACGATTTAATTAATAAAATTAGTCAATTCATATAAAAAATTGGATTAAGGATTCAAATTAATTTTTTAAAAAATCAAATCATGAAAATTAATTAAAAAAATTGTATAAAATAGATTGATTCAGAACACCCATCACCAGGACTAGGATTTGTATGCAACAGCACCTTTTTTTTTGCGACTTTAGATTATTGATTTTGTCAGTAATGTCCATGAATCACCTCATGATGAGATAAATGGTGGTGTTTTTAATTAGTATGTTTTTGCATATTTCGATTACAAGTAAGCGAAAAAAGAATGTTTTATAGTTTAGTTCCTAATTAATATTTATAATTTAATATTAATATTTTGTATTTATTTCTAGCCCTGCTGATTAAAGTATAAAACTAAGTTTTTTTGTCAAACATAAATTTTAATGTATTTATTAAATAAATGTTTGTATACCAACCATGTATTTCAATAAATAAATATTTTTTTTTATAATAATATTTTTGTGTTTATCTTATAAAAATTTAAATGCATATTTTACAATTTTTTATTACATACAAATCCTGCATACATAGCCTTGCCTATCACTTATTAAATAAATCTGTATAAAAATAATTATAAATTAACTTATATACCTGAAACAACCCCTAGCTATTTCCTTATCTTCTTCCAAATTTTGACATTTGAATAATGGTTGAGGAGCATCACTAAAGAAAAGACTAAATGGAAAGTTGTCTCTGACAATATTTATTGAAATTGCCTAAAATATTAAGTGTTAATTTTAATTTAATAAACATTAAAATTAATTTAAAACTTACACAATCTGAATTTTCTTCAAGATTTAAAATTGTTAAATATTTATTCCATTTAGGGAGCACATGGGACCAAAAAAAGTGCATAGCAGTTTCACATGTATATGACATATCACCTTTTACATCCATTAAGTCTTGTAAGCGCTGTACTTCGTTTAACAATTGGAGTCTTTTGGCTAAAACATAATTGACTCTTCCGTACCTATATAAAAAGAAAAATATTAAATTAATTGTATGAAATGTTTATTTAAGTGTTAAATTATAAGTAGAGCTAATATATAAAAATAAATAACAAACCGACTAAAATCCTTGTCAGTTTCCAGTGCTTCTTCACCATGACCAAGACGTAACAAATGTCTTTCATCAATATCTAACGCCATAATTTTTTCAAATAATTGATTCAATGCTTGATTAGAATGTGTAACTATTAAGGTTCTTTCATTCCTCCAATTATGATACAAATTTGAAATTATTTGTACAGCTACATCAGTTTTACCAGTACCCGGAGGACCAACAACTACAGTTAATCCAGGCTGCATACCAGAATATATTGCTTCAATTTGAGTAGGTGTAAAGCGTATCATATTTCTAAAAAAAAAAAATTGATTAAGTAAAACAATGTATTAAAACTAAACAAATTTAATATTTTATTATTTATTTTTACATAAATTACTTTTTAGGTTGATTAAATTTATATGGTCCTCTGTTGACAGCTTTTACAGATTGTACATTCACTTTTTTGAACTTTTTACCAAATGAATTGAAGGATTCTTGAAAATGAATACTAACAAAAATAAAAAAAATGTTATATGATAAAAAATAATCAAATATTAAAATAGATATATTTAGAATAAAAAAGGTTTTTAACTAACCGATAAGGTGGTAGGGTTTCACTATTCACCCTAAATGTAATTTCATCATTTGGAAAACTTTCCAACAAGTGGTCTACATCCAAGAATGTATCGTTAAAATTCATAACATTAATCCTATTTTGCATTCTAGTACATACAAATTAAAATAATTATATAATATAATATTAAATTGTAATTTTAGAATTATAATTCAGAAATTATTGATAAGATCCATAATGTATTAACTGGACATTTATAGTACACTTTCCCAAAAATCAAGGCACTTGTGTATAATATTTTCTTAGAGATACACAGAACTACCTTCATATTTTTTCTACAAAACCCACAAAAAATAATTTAATCAACATACTTATCATATCTAGCTGCAGATGGATCTCCATATCCTAAAATAATATCATGAATCCATTCAGGTACAACACATTCTGTATTCATCAAATGACGAATAGTTTCTAATACAGCTTTAAAATTATTTTCTTTTGGTTTTCTACGCATTAATACATTGAATGTTTCATAAACATCCTATAATAGAACCATTTGATAAATATGTATTTATATAATTTTAGATAAGATTGATAAATAAATATGAAAATATACAATTTTCCCAGCAGCAACATCATCAAGATCAGCACGATATTGATTACAGTCTAACCAAACACGATACGTCCGCTTTTGACCAGGTAAAACTGGTCTTGGATCAGGTCCTTCTTCAATCACACGACCCATATTATCCAACATACCTTCTATTTCACAACCTCTAACACAAACTAGAGATGTTTGTTGAAGGAATGGCTTATGATAATCAATTCTAGATCCTAGAATATATATTGAATATATTTTATGTTCAATATTTATTTACAAAATTATTGTAATTTATATTATATTATATATATTATATTATATTATTTTTGTATAATTAATTATACAAAAAAATTAAAGATCTATGCACTTTTTACCTATTGGTAGGATTGGTTGAACAGTCAATAAAAAACATACATCATGTTTACGTAAGTTTTCCCATTCTTCTTGTACGTCTTTCTTAAGATTTAAAGTAACTGAAACATCAGCTCGAACTCTGGAAGGTTGTAAATCACCTAAATAAAAAAAATATTTATGCAAATTAAACAATACATTTTATGGAAATATGATAAAATATTATATTTAATTTACCAAGATTCGGTTTTGCAACTTCGACAACTAGAAAATTATCAATAGGTAATGCCATTTTTGAATAACCACTGAAGTAAATACTTCCATCTTCAGATTTACTGAAATAAATTTATAAAACTGATCACTATTTATACTATTATAGTGTAAACAATCATTATTGAAATTTAGGATGTGGATTAGGTTCATAGTTATTTTCAATTTTTTAATGAAATGTAAAGAATGACTAGGAAAATGTTTGTATATTTTATAATACATTATCTAATTTATTATAAATTGAATTGTAAATATAACATTTCTAATTATTTTATTTAGCATAAATAATAATATAATTGATTTCAGAATGAAATATTTTAGAAATAATTTGAAAGTTTAATATTGTTACATTAAAGATGAGATTTTATATTGAAGTATAAACTCTATAAGTATATACAATTCAGTAATTACTTTGTCAGAATTATACTTCTGTAATATTTGTTTTATATACTTATTTTATAGTTTATATACTTCCATTTTTATCTTGGTCCTTCATATTATTAAAAGACCTTTTAGATAAGCGAGCTGGAGATTCAAAGTCAAGGATGGGTGAAACAATGAAACACTCCATCAATAAGTACAATAAGTACAATTTAATTATACAAACATGCGTATAATATAAATAAATATACAATTATTTTAGACTTACCATGGGTTCATCCGAGTAATAGAATCTTCTATATCTTGTCTAATCTCATCTATAAAATAAATACATTTTTATGATTATAATATGTTATAATATTAGTAATTACTTAATGTATTTAATATAAATATATATTTGAGTTAAGTAGTATAGCATTTCTTCTTAAAAATTCAAAAATAAAATATTCATTAAATCAAATTTATCAACTGGTAACTCTAATTGTGTATTGGAAATTACATGAAATCAATAATTTAACTTCATATATAAGTCAATATTCTATACATACAGCCAAAAATTATTTTAAAAATTAATGCTTACTATGTAAGTTTCTAATTTTAGATAATAAGATTTGATAAAGCAATGAACTTTATTTTTAAAATTGTATAAATCATATCTAAAAACAATATTAAAGCTTGTATAATAGATATTTTATTTCAAGTAGTACAATAAAAACTTGATTACTATAGGCATATTAACTGACAGTAGTAATACAGATTTGTGCATTAGGATAGTATTTTTAAATACTAGTATTAAGAACATGATTTTATACAATACCGGGATACACACATCAAGAAAATAGCAGTTAGGTTGTATTTAACCGCATTACTTTTCAGTGACTACTGTTAATCAAAGCACCACACTATATTCTACATAAATGTTATCTTTATCAATTGTCATTAAACAAATAAAATAAAACTACTTACATGTAGATTCTAATCTGAATAGTTGAAAATTACGTAACAAGTAATCATGCAGAGTTAAAAATTGTAAATTCAATTTTGGTAAAGCTAAGCAATTGTTCCCATTATAATATTCAGTAGGCACTACAGCTTCATTCCAAATAATATCTTCAGTTGGATACAGAGGCATTCCGTTTAGGACTTTTAATTGAGACTCTCTAACTTCATGGCGTGATACCTAAAAAAAGCATTTAAAATTACAATTAGTTGTAGATTTTAGGGAGGAAAATTTTAATATTTTTATTTTTCTGTTAATTTATTCTAGAGAAGTAAATCTTCACTAAATATTTCATTACACAATTATTTAGATAACAATTTTGATTAATATTGAACTGATTAATTTTATTTTACAAGGGTCTGGTGTATAATTTATTGTTATAATTGCAATATTCTCAATGTTAGTACAATATTCTATAATGGTATATCTTAAATGTATCATTTGTATCTGATATATCAATGATGAAAAAATAAAATAGTATAAATACCATTATGTAATTTTTAATAAATTGAAAATAAATAATGTATTTTATTTGTACTACAATTATTTGTACTTCAAAAATATAAATAAAAATAAAATGTATCAAGTATAATCAAAGACATTGGTATTACCTGCAGCCATAAGTTAGCAGGAGAATTGAATATATAATTTTTAGTTGAAAAAAGAGGATAAAAAGGTTTTGATCTCTGGTATTAAGACTATTAATTTTAAAACATATTGAAGAAAGAATTTCAAGACAGTCAATTGAAACTAAAATTAACTTTTGCAGATATTTAGAGAATTAAAGAGATCGATGGTCAGTGAGTAGAGAAATATAAAGAAAATTTAAAACATTATTATAGATGCCATGGAGAGGTCTGCTAGTATCAAATTTAAAAGCAATACATTGTGAAAAGTTATTTTGAATAGAATCAAGCATAAGATTTTATTTTGATGTATTATTTATCCAGATGAAGAGGCAGTACTCAAAATTAGAATGGACAAGAGAGTAGTAGAGGATTTTTAAAGGAACAGGATCTGAGAATGAGCTACAAGGTTTTTTTTTTATTACCCTAAGTGAAGAAAAGCCTTAATCTTGATTATTTCATTCAATATTGAAAGAAAAGTTTAATTTAGAATCAAGAATTATACCCAAATCTTTTAATTGATTAACATGATCAATATTAGATACAAAAATTGTGTATTGAAAATTAATTGGGTTTTTTATAAGGTAAAATTTGTAAAGATTTAATAATAGATCATTTTCATTACACAAAAAAGTAAATTATTATAATTATTATTATGTAATTATTATCCAATTGTATATTAATGACATCTTGCTCAGATTTAACGATTTTTACTAATTTGGCGTCGTCTACAATATTGGAATTTATGATAACATTAGTTAGATTATTTATAAATATATTAAAAAGAAGTGTTAATAGGTGGTTACCTTGAGAAACATCCGAAAGAACACTGCACTGTACAGAGGTAAAATTTATATACTTAACAATTTGGTGATGCCCTGATAAGAATAATTGAAACCAATTTAATAGAGCACCAGAAAAACCAAATATTTGTAGTTTTTTAATAAAGATTACATAATTAACTTAGTCAAATGCCTTAGCAAAATTAGTATAGATAATATCAGCATTTGCTTCAAAAGATTCAAGGATAATATTCTTCACAGCTAAATTATTAAGGTTCTCACAAACTGCCGTGGTGGCGGTGGCGTTGGCGATTTTTATCCAGTACAAACATAATATACTTATAAATTACATACAATAATTGTATAGTTAATTAATTAATAAATGAATTCCTATTTAATACAATATATTATTTGATAAATTAACGATTTATCTATATAGTACGTTAGTACTATATTAAGTACTTATACTATTATACATATTATATATTGCATTGATTATTTTTATATGATTTATTATATATTTATATTTTTATATTTCAATTAAATTAAATAATATATTAAACTATAAACTGAATAGTTTCTAGGAAATAATCGAAGTCTAGACTAATATACACCATATATATTAGGTAGTATAGGTACTATTAGCGTCTATTTGATAAGTCAATTGAAAATACCGCTTCGCGGTGGCGGTGAAATCGAGCATGCTGCAGTTTTTATTTTTTATTTTTTATTGCACGGCGATATTTCACCGCGGTCGAATTACCGCTGCAGTGTGCGGACCAGAAGCGGATCCAGGGGGTCGTAGGAGCGACCCCCCCCCAGTTGATACCCCCCGTATCAAAATGTGTTAATTTAATTTGATGTATTATTAAACTGCATTATCTTGCGTAATAACATTCTAATGTATTGTTATTAACACAAATTTTTATAACATAAATTAATGAATAGTCAATAAGAAAAATATTATTGTGACCGTATGATCGACGACAACCGTCAGCCGGTCAGCCCCAGCTAACTCATAGAATCAGGGCCGTGGAGACCGAGCAAGGGCCCAAGGGAAAAATTAATCTAGAAGCTTCTCGCACGAGGTATTAAACTTGCCACTGACATCCAGTGACTTCTTTTAAAATGTGTATACTAAAGACAGGGGTGGATAGGTAGTTTTTTTGTTACAGGGAAATATTTTAATGGGGCCACCAAAATGAAAAAAAAATTTGATGGCTTCGCTCGCATTACCTACACATTCAATATAATAAGATTTAAAAATAGAACATTAAAACAAGATATTGCAGAATCTAATACAAGTCATAATTTATTAATATTTTATTTTTATACAAGAAAAGATTTTTTAACACTTTACTTTTGGTAGACATGTTGTCAATTATTTCATCAGCGTCAACTCCATTTAACAATCCTTTCTCAATACTCATGAGCATAAAACTTTCCAAACGGTCTTGTGACAATTTACTTCTTAAATATGATTTGACGCATTTTAGTTTAGAAAAACCTCGCTCGCAACTGA